CTTGCTTAGTAGAGTTGAAACTGGAGGAGTTCCCTTATCCCCTCACAGGGCGTGACAGGGGTGTGGTTCGCTTCTTCGGTGCCCCTCTGTTCAAACCATGCAGGTGGGTAGGTTGTGGGGGGCGTTCTGGGGCTCCAACTCCACAGCAGCCTCTAGGGTTGAGTGTTTGCAGGTCCCAAGGCCACAGTGGGTGTGTGTTACGTGACGGTGCGCTTTTTCAGTTTTGCTGTCTGCAGGTGGCTTGTGTTAATCAGCTCCATTAGACCCTCTGCCTTATCACAAGGACAGAGGGCTTTCTGTATCCTGGTTCTTGCCCTAGTGTGCAGGAAAAATCAGATCACACATGGGCGTGGAGGATGGGTGCAAAGTTTAATTGAGTGGTAGAGGTAGCTCTCAGTGAAGTGGATAGGGAGCCAAAGGGGGATGGAGTGGGAAGGTGGTCCTCCCCTGGAGTCAGGCCAGCCAGTGGCTGGACTCTCCTCTGACTGCCTCTGACCAAATTCTGCATCATCCCGCCGTCAGTGGCCTGCCAGCATCTGCTGGTGTCTGTCGGTGTGCTCTTCTGCTCCTTTCAACATCCAGCTGCTTGTGTCCGTGCCCCCTATAGTCTCCGATTTTTATGGGCATAGGATGGGGGGCATGGGAGGCCAGAGTGGTCTGGGAAAATGCAACATTTGGGCATGAAAACAGGAGTGCCTGTTCTCACTTAGGTCCATGGGCATAGGCCTGAGGGTGGAGCCCTCGCCAGGCACCCCACCTTTCTCTACCCAGCGTTTCCCTGCCCCCCTCCCATATAAAAGTCACCTGACCAGGTTTCACAAGGCTGCAACCGGAGTGTTGCTGGGACCACGTCATTCGAACATGCCCCTGGGGGAAGACCACAAGAGTGACAGCCCATCATATTCTTGCTCACGGAGAGCATTCTATAAGGCCAGAGGTCATTTTAGAATTCTGCCTGCCACACTAAGTTTAGTGGCTTTATTCTTTTGCTTTGTGTGGGAGAATTTGATCCATTCCTAGTTGTAGTTATTAATGATATTTGGAAATGCACATCGTCTTCAGTGAGCGAGTCACCTGTGTTTGTTGAAAGTCAGATTCTGTGAGGGGATTTGTGGAATGATAGCTTTGCTTATGGGAATGGGGAAGGTCAAGACCTCTCCCTGTAGCTTAAGATAAAAGCAATATTAACTTCCTTCAGGCTTAGAAGTCGGTGGAGCAGTGCCTACGATTTGGAGGTTTATGTACTTTCAGTGAAATTCCTGCTACAAGCAACTTAGTCACTATAGAAATTTGATAGTTTAATACACTTCGGCTGAGAAGAGGTCAAGGCGTTCTGAATTTATTTATTTATTTATTTATCTATTTATTTATTTATTTTTGAGACGGAGTTCCGCTCTTGTTGCCCAGGCTGGAGTGCAATGGCGTGATCTCAGCTCACCGCAACCTCTGCCTGTCAAGTTTAAGTGATTCTCCTGCCTCAGCCTCCCGAGTAGCTGGGATTACAGGCCTGCACCACCACGCCTGGATAATTTTGTATTTTTAGTAGAGATGGGGGTTTCTCCATGTTGAGGCTGGTCTCGAACTCCCAACCTCAGGTGATCCCCCCGCCTCGGCCTCCCAAAGTGCTGGGATTACAGGCGTGAGCCACCGTGCCCGGCCCGTATCTGAGTTTATTAAAATGGCTGCAGGACTCTGGTGGTAGTTTGGGGATCTGCTGGGCCCCCTGTTCTCTTGAATTCCTAGGCTCTTCATGAGTGAGGAGGGCGGGGCCGTGGTTGAAGAACGGGTAAGAGTTCATCTGGTAGACATGGGAAGTAGAAGGCGCCGTTTTCTGGGGGATGTTTCTTCTCACCGTCTGTCCAGGCTTAGTCTGGGTGAGGCCAGTTTGGAGCATGAGGAGAAACAGAGGACACTTTCTGGAAGTTTCATCCTAGGGAGACGGCAGTGTTAGAGCCAGAGCCCTGGAACGTGGCCCTCAACCGGAGGGATAAGAAGAGTCGGGGGCTGAGGCTGGGGCCAGGAGGGCTGGGGCGACAGGAAGGGAGTGCGGGAAGATGGGGGCTGTCTCGGAGGTTGGGTGTGGAGGGGAGACAGCCCACAGAGCTCTGTGGCTTGTGCTGTGCAGTTTCCTCCCTTCCCAGCCTCCCTGGAGGTGCCCAGAGTGGCCTGGACAGGAGTGGGGCCACCAAGGGAGGTGCCTCCAGTACTGGAAAATCAGGGCCTAGCTTTGTGGTCTAAATTGTCAGGCCAGGGAGATGCAGTCTGTTTGGCGGAGGCGTCCGGGATGGCTTCAGTGGGGAGGGAGGAGGTGGAGACAAGAGCGAGTGGACAAGGCTGTCATCCGGCAAGTGAAACAGGAGCGTGCTGGCAGAGGCGAGAGAGACGATCCAGGAAATGGAGGGTGCTGAGCAGAAGAATGGATCCTGCTTTGTGACGGAGTAGCCCCTGACCTGTACCATGAGCTCCAAACATGATGGCATTATGGTCAAAATTTTGAATTCACCAAAAGAAGGTGGGGGTGGAGGAGTGAAGTCAGGGTCCGAAACGTCAAGCATGAAATGATGGTGAGAGCTCTGGCGGGAATGGTCAGCTCCGTCCGAGAAAGGCCAGTGTCCTCTGACTGTGAGATGACATGGGAACATGTTGTACCCACTGGTTCAAGTCTTGGGCACAGAAGGCAAGAGAGAGGTTTCGGGGCATTCGGAAGGAGAGTTAGTGAGACGCAGCCCCAGAGAGACGGGAGAGGTACTGGTCAAGGATTTCCGTAGGGTTGAAACTGGACTGCAAGGCAAGGAGCTGGGTGCATGGCCATGAGAGCGGAGCCGGGAGGTGGGAAATGACTGTAAATAAAGGCTGTCGCCGGTGGCTGTGTTTGGAGGACTTGTGTGCATTGCAGAAAAAGTACACACGTGAGAGTCTTGGGAGCAGAGCCGTGGTGCACTCGCTTTGGTCCATGTTTTTGTTGTTTTATTGTTTTGTGGCCAGATGTTTTTGAGACTGGACTAGCGTGGTGCTGGATGTGATCGAGGCTGCTGTGTCTGAGACCTGGTTCTGCCCCCGCGGAGGTGGCTGAGGGTGAACTGCAGTCTGTGACCAAGGGGACCTTGTGAGTTTGTCAGCACCATGTGCTCCTCCGGGGTCTGACCGGTGCTTTTGGAGTCCCAGGGGCCATGCAGCCAAGCCCTTCCGGCCAGTGCCTGGATGCCTGGCTCGTGCCCACTGTGGCAAGCGTGAGCGATTTGTCTTCACAGGAGACCTGGTCTACAGACACCTTCCTTGTAATTTGCCTTCTCACATGCTGCCCTGTTGAACGAGCCTTAGCCTCCCTGGTTGGACGTGGGGGTGAGGGAGAGGAAGGGTCTCTAGGATTTGGGCTTGAGTGACCAGGAAGAAGGGGTACTCTTGTGGAGAGCAGAGGTTACAAGAGAATGTGTGGGCTTCCCAGGTGGAGGCTGCAGCTGCATTTTTGGACATGTTGGGTTTGACAGATGCCGGGAGCGGAGCCTGTGGATGGTGTGATGCCATGGCCATGGCAAAGCCCTGGGCTGAAAATCACCTGTGCAGACACCAGTGGATGATGCTCAAGGAGCCTCAGGACAGCCACCACAGAGCCCTGGGGAGGGGAGACAACAGGCTTAGGAGACACAGGTCTTGGGAAACCAGGAAGAGGTTGGGGAGAGGGAGGAGGCCAGGAGGGAGACTGTGGAGGAGAGCAGCCCCTTGGGAAGTAGGAAGAACTGCGGGGGAGTGAGGAGCCGCAGGAGCCCAGGTGGGAGGGAGCCTCAGCCCTCAGCCAGGTGATGGGGACCGAGCTTTGTCTGTTGCACTCAGTGACTGCTGGGGAACCTTGGGAGACATTTCCTTGGAGTTGTGGAGCTGAAACCAGATAGATGGTAGTGGGTGGGAAGTGACTGTGTCTCCATGATCAGTTGGCCCTTCCTGGACACCAGGAAATCAGGAATGTGGGGATCAGAGCCAGTGTCATCCTCAGGGTACCTGGACTCGGGAGGCGGCCCAGGAGACAGGCAGGCCAGGAGCTGGACACAGGGCTAAGCAGTGGCTCTTCTGAAGGACAGAAGTCACAGCATATTTATGTGATCAGGACAGTAGGGAGGAGGCCGGAGAGTGGGGGTGACTTCTGGTGGGACCCCAGGCAAGGTCAAGGATAGGACTTGGCCTGGGAAAGGAGTAGGCTGCTTGGAGTCAGGGCCTAGAAAGTTCAGGAGCCTCATCAGAAGACACTGCCTATGTTTGGGCGAGGTGGGAAGCTGTGATGAGTGAAGGGGAGGGGTCGCAGGGGCTGGAGGGGAGAGAAGGGCGTGCGTCAGGGGAGCCCAGCGTGTGGAGGGGAGAAGGAGAGAGAAGAGCGTGCGTCAGGGGAGCCCAGCGTGTGGAGGGGAGAAGGAGAGAGAAGAGCGTGCATCAGGGGAGCCCAGCGTGTGGAGGGGAGAAGGAGCCTCCAGGGTCTGCTGTGCCTGGGGCCCATGCAGCCGTGGCAGGTGGCCGGGTGGCACGTGGGTGGGGTTGCCTTTGCCTTTTCCCCAAATAGTGTTCTCTGTTATTTATTTATTTTTTTTTTTTGAGATGGAGTCTCACTCTGCCTCCCAGGCTGGAGTACAGTGGTGTGATCTTGGCTCACTACAACCTTCGCCTCCCAGGTTCAAGTGATTCTTGTGCCTCAGCCTCCCGAGTAGCTAGGATGACAGGCGTGTGCCTAGCACAGCCAAATCACGTCGAGGACCAGGGTGGGGTGTTTCAGAAAGCCTGTCACTCTTGGGCCACCTCGTGCAGTGCACAAAGGGACCCCTCCGGAGTGCCCTGGTGCCCTGAGAGACCAGTGTGCCTGTCAGAGTGGGTGCAAGCTGTGACAATGCCGCTCATGTAGCCCCACCACCGAGTGCGTGCTGTGTTCCACGCGTCCTTCTCCAGGTTCAAACAATTCACCGTGTTTTGATTGCCCATGAAAGCATCTCACCTTCCTGTACTTTTTGTCCTTCCAGGTGCTGCTGTCCGGACTCATAGGTGTCGTCTCCTGGAAGAGGCCTCTCTCCCTCGTGGTAAGTGGCACCTGTGTCTCCAGGTGGCCTCGGAGCAGGGTTCCACCTTCAGATGTGTGAGCAGGTTGGAGGCAATGGCGAAGAGAATTGTAGGTTTTTTTCAGGCAGCAGGAAGCAGAGCTTGATAAAATCTCACTGCTGAAGGCTGATGGGCTCATGAGAAGTGCTGTTTCTCGCAGGAGGTGCTTCTGAGAGTGCCGCTTGGTGTCTTGCTGAGATGCTTCAAGAGCATCCTCTTTGTGTTTGTTTTGTTTTGGTGTCCTGCTGTAAGGACCGAGCGTGAACCAAGGACTTTTCTTTTTTTTTGAGACGGAGTCTCGCTCTGTCACCTAGGCTGGAGTGTAGTGGCATGATCTCGGCTCACTGCAACCTCCGCCTCCCGGGTTTAAATGATTCTCTGCCTCAGCCTCCTGAATAACTGGGATTACAGGCACCTGCCACCACGCCCAGATAATTTTTGTGTGTTTTTAGTAGAGACGGGGTTTCACCATCTTGGCCAGGCTGGTGTTGAACTCCTGACCTCATGATCCACCCACCTTGGCCTCCCAAAGTGCTGGGATTACAGGTGTGAGCCACTGCGCCTGGCCAACAACGGCATTTTAAAAGTGTGGATGTGGCTTGGCACGGTGGCTCAGACCTGTAATCCCAGCACTTTGGGATGCCGAGGCGGGCAGACACGAGGTCAGGAGCTCAAGACCAGCCTGGCCAACATGATGAAACCCCATCTCTACTAAAATTACAAAAATTAGCCAGAACATGGTGGCGAGCATCTGTAATCCCAGCTACTGGGGAGACTGAGGCAGGAGAATCGCTTGAACCTGGGAGGCAGAGGTTGCAGTGAGCCGAGATCGCGCCACACCATGGCACTCCAGCCTGGGCAACAGAGAGAGAGTCCATCTCAAAAAAAAAAAAAAGTGTGGATGCATGCGTTTCCTCTAGACATTAAAGCCTGTTTATGCACTATGCATGCATACTGTATGATCACACAAACAGAACATATTTTATCAGCGTTCAAGAAATGTTAGAGTTTTGTGTTTTGGGGGGAACCCTAAAATTCTGTGAGTAAAATAAAGAGAGTTATTTGAATTGCTGTGGCATTGTGCTGAGGAGCAGGCCACGCGGGAGATGGAGAGGAGGATGGTTTTTCCCTCAGAAAAATACCCTAAGCAGATTTGTGTCTATTGATTTGTATGCCTGTTCTTCTCAGTGTATGCATTAATATATGTATGTGTCCGTGCCAGGACTAGAAGAACAGGTTTTCCGGGTTTTGATAGATAATGAAACAGACAGCGTGGCATTTTTCTTCTTTTATATTAATCAATTATTTAAAATCTCCTCTTTAAGTGATTAGACTTGGAGATAATGACATGTAGTAAATATTAATGGGAATAGAAAAATAACCCACATTTGTCTATTGAAAACACCTCTTCTTTCATGGGAGTAACCATGACGCCCTAAAATGGTATCAGAGAAGACAGGAGTGACCTGAGAATCAGCTGAGGCTCCTCTTCTGCTGTATTTCGGCTCATATAAGGAATTTCCTTTTAGAAAAATATTTTTATTTAGAACTTTCAAACATACATAAAAGTAAAGAGACTGCTGTCAGGAACCCCTGTGTACCCCTCATCTGGCTTCAACAGATGTCAGCATCTGGTCCATCTTGTTTTGTCACTATCTCCCTACCTTCCCCCCCAGCCCCTTGCTGGATTATTTTGAAGCTGGCTCTTGGTGCTGAGGGGAAATGCAGTGAATAGGTGACTGTGGGATTGACGTCCTCGGGGTATGCAGTGTGGTGACTGCGCTGCCTTCAGTGACACGGGGACAGCTGCCTCCTCCGTCCACACCCACCTTCGCGGTGCAGACAGATTAAGCTCTCTAAACAAAGGAAAGCCGCCTTCCGCAGAGTGGGTGTGTGGACGAAAAGACAAGAGAGGAATGACGTCCATCACCCGGTCACCCCCGCGTGCCACCCCCGGCCCTGGCCCCAGCATCGGGAATCTCACGGGGCTGGGCATTTTACCGCGCAGGACGCATAAGCTTAGAGCGGACGAGGAATTAGGACCCCTTATGGTGGTGGCTGAGGAGTGTCCCAGGGAAGTCAGGTGAGCAGGCTGCGGTCTCAGGACTCATCCCAGTAGAGGGACATCACAGCAGCTGGACCTACTGGAGCAGAGTGTTCAGAGCACTTGCTCCCCAGCCCTGCCACAGTGGTTGGAGCAGGGCCAGCCTGCTCTCTGGGAGGTGGTCAGCACTGACCTCCCATGGACGAATTTCCTCCCAAGCCCCAGGCAGAGGGGAAGGGGATCATGTGGCTTGACTGACTTCCTTGCCTTATGTAGGGAGGTTAGGGTATCATTAGGGTGACACTAACTGCTGGTACTACCCCCTGACTTTCAGTGGCTCCATTAGGGCAAGGCTAGTCTGGCCCTTGTCCAGGTCAGGCATGGCCTGTGATTGAGTCCTTCACAGAGGGACTTAGGGACCTGGCTCCTTCCGCCCGAGGGCCGCAGTGTTTCCTAGGGCTGTGAGATCCGCTGCAAGTCAGTGACAGGGAATAGAGAACAGAAAAGGAACCCTAGCAGTTTAATTTGCTTGGTCCGAAAATGACATTCATTGCTTGCCTTTCAAGCCATTCAGGAGAGCTTGCCCTGAGGCCCCATCTAGGAACCCGTGGACCCGTGGCAGGCACTGCCTCTCTGGACAGGCGCTTCCCAGAGGCAGTTCCGCGCTGCAGACGGACTGTGTGGGTTTTGCTGGGTAGTTTGTTGTCTGTACCTTAAGAATGTTCTTCTGTCGTGTTGACCACAACAGTACAGTCTTGATTCATTAGCAAAAACTCACTCTCTGAATCATGACCATTGAGATAGTCTCGGCTTTGGCTTCATGAGGAGTAAAGGCATTCACAACAGATACCAGGAAAATCTACAGTATAAAGATCTATTAGGGTGCTCTAGAAAAACATAACCAATGGGAGATATACAGATAGAGAGATATAGATAGGTCTACACACGCATTCACACACGTATATATAAATATCTAGATTATAACATATATGTGTGTGTGTGTATATAGAGAGATTTATTTATTTTAAAGGATTGGCTCACACGGTTGTGGGAACAGGCAGTGTGAAAGTCTGTAGTGCTGGCTCGCAGGCTGGACCCAGAGCTGAGGCTGCAGCTTTAGCCTGAAGGGAGGCGCCAGGCGGAATTCCCTCCTCCCTGCAGGAGATCTGTCCTTTTCTCTTCTTTCCTCTGACTGGACGCCGTCCACCTACATTATGGAGGGTCATCTGCGTTGTTCAGAGTCTGCTGGCTTAGAACTTAATCTCATCTACAAAAATACCTTCACAGCGACATCCAAACTAGTGTTTGACCACATATCTGGGTACTGGGGTCTAGCTGAGTTGACACTTAACAGGAACCATCACCACAGAGTTTTTGGAAATGTGACCAAAGATCTTCTATCCAGAATAATACCAAAGAAAATACTGTTAACAATGATGGCAGCCATTCCTCGAGTGGGACCTGTGTGTCCTCACCTTCACGGCAGTCCTGGCAGAAGTAGGTTTTCCTACTCTTTTTTTTTTTTTTTAAGAGTTTTTAAAGTTTAAAATAGTTTTTTTAAAAAAGTTTTTAAAACAAGGCCAAGGCTTCCACGCCTTAAGTAATGAGCTAGGACTTGAACCCAAAGCTCTCTGACTCCCAAATCCTCCTTTTTTCCAGCCGACTGTAGTCTGTGTGGACATTGTCTTTCTTCTCTAAGTATCTATATATCATATATATATATATCTATATATATATGACTTACATTCCTTCAACCTCATCTTCTTGTCCCTTTGTATTTTCTGTCTCAGTTGGTGACACCACCGCCCACCCAGTCTAGAAACTGGGGAGTCACTCAGACATCCTTCTCCTTCCTCACCCATCATGCTTATTCACAAGCTCTCTCTTTGTGACTCATTTTGTTATTATTACTATTATTATTATTTTGAGACAGAGTCTCACTCTTGCCCAGGCTGGAGTGCAGTGGTATGATCTTGGCTCACTGCAACCTCCGCCACCTGGGTTCAAGTGATTCTCCTGCCTCAGCCGCCTGTAGCTGGGATTACAGTAGCTGGGCGTGTGTGCCACCACGCCCAGCTAATTTTTGTATTTTTGGTAGAGACAGTGTTTCACCGTGTTGGTCAGGCTGGTCTCAAACTCCTGACCTCGTGATCCGCCCACCTTGGCCTCCCAAAGTGCTGGGATTACAGGCCTGAGCCACCGCACCTGGCCGTGACTCATTTTATTTGTATGCAGCTGCCCCTCTCTTCTCTCTGCCTTGAGCCACCATTCTAGGGCAGGTCCTTGCCTGGTATCTCATGTAGTAACCTCCTAACAGATCTGTGTGCCAAAACTCTGGCTCTTCTCCAGTCTGTTCTCCACACACACAGAGGCCATGGGTGGTATGTAAAGTGTCCGCTGGACTGTGTCACTCTCCTTCTTTAAGCCCTTCGTGGTTCCCCAGGGCCCACAAAATGGAACTGAGGTTTTCCAGATGACGTGTGAGACCTTGTGCAAGGAAAGAGGAAAGGAAGACCTAGAAAGCAAAGTACCCTGTCCTGGGACTTAGCACTAGAATGGCTCGAAGTCTTGATTTCGGTGATTTTTAAAATAAAAGCTCCTGCTTTTGTTGTCTGTGCTAATTATGTGTTTTTCTTCCTGGAGGTGTCAACTAAAGATGCAGCCGTGAGTTTTCTAGTTCATTCCCAGGGGAACACACTGGCCTGCCCTCCCCTCAACGCCTTCCATAAAGACCACACAGTGAGCTGCCCTCTGTGAAAGGAGAGTGTCCCTCAGGAGAGTGAGAAGCAGCAGTTCTGGGCCCATGGCTCCAGGGTCTGTGCAGCCGCTGCATTCGCCCTGCAGGCCTGGCTGGCTGAGGACAGGCGTGCGTGGCCCCTGCTGCTGGAGCGTTTTGGTGCTGCCCTTGCTCTCCTGGCAGCAGCTTTCCTCTGCAGG